CTAATACCCTTGATTATTTACTTTGACAGCTCACATGTGAAAGACAGGCAGAAGCGATGTGCTACTGCAACCCCCAAACCTGCCTCAGGAAACGAGAACCACATCTCAAATCACAACCTGCTGTGGTTTAAATGCTCAGCAGGCAGGAGGATATGCACGAGGCCACTTTAACCACAATCAGCAATGTCTGTCATGTTCACATGACGTACAGGTTCCCTTTCCCTTATCAAAGCTCCCACAACTGGTTACTGGTGCAAAACTCGGCTTCCTGCTTCCAGGAATAATAGGGATTCCCTTCATAATAGAGAGCATTTTGATTTTGTAGGACAAAGGCCTCACTGACCATCCAAAGGATCAATACGGTCACACCAGTCCTTATCTTGGTTTTGTATCGGGTGTTTTACAGTTAAAATATAACCGTTATTTCAACATTAACCACCTTAGCTATCTGCCTTAGAAAGAACAGGGAACTCCAAGCCAAAAAGGTTTCCAACAGGCATTCCACAGAACCTGAGAACAGGGACCTCTGAACTCCAACAGCTCTGCTCAAAGCAGGGTCAGCCACAGCAAGACCCTCAGCACATCAGGTTCTGAGTATTGCCAAAGATGGGACCCCAAAACCTCGCAGGGCAACCGGTTCCTGTGTTCCACTACCCTCACAGTAAGCAATTAAAGCTGCAATCATCATTCAGACCCACCCACATTCACTTCCCTTTCCAGCCACTCCTGACAACATCCAAACGGGTTCCTGGGGCGCACCATGCAGTGGAAGCTCATCAAGCCATGGCCTACGACTGCTGATCCAGAGCACAACCCAGCTCATGCCACGGACAGACACAGCACCTTGGATCTGGGACACGGTAAGCAGCTACACCAAGCTCAGCAGTGGTGATGGTTTATAAGGCTGTCTCTGCAATAGGTCCCATTAAGTAACGACACGTTTTGAGACTCTGCTTTCTTAAGTGAACTCCCATGGGGGTTTTGACAGCCACAATAAGATTCCTTGTAGCTCACGACTCCTCAGAAGCCCCATTTTGTGTTTTAACTCCTCCATTTTTCAACTTCCTCTGTTTTTTGCAACATGGGTATCTCGAGTTCTTTTCAGGCAGGAGAAAACAGGCTGGGAGGGGAAGGGGTATCTTCTGAAGCCTGTCCCTTTGCTCTTCCCACACCACCACTGAACTACCACATGCAACTGGACCAAAGCTCACTATTACCAGCCTTTGGCTGGCAAAAAGAATAGGGATATTTCAGTATACAAACAAGGCATCTCCTTTCCCACACCACACGGGGCTGAACTGATCTGCTTATCCACAGCTGGCCAAATGAAAATGACCTGTACTTGTCAAGAGATCCGGCCATGGTTTTGGGCCTAGCAACTTCCTGGATTCTTCCTAACAGAGAGACGAATTCATGACAAGCAGGTAAATCCCCAAACCATTCCTTCTGCAATCTAGTCAAAAAGAATGATAAAGATGCCTTCACTTTGTACTTCTGTACGTAAAATGTGCAGAACAGTAACGCATGAATAATTCAGATGTACCACAGTAACGAATGGAAAGCTGAGATTCCCAATTTAACACGAATGTGAATCACAATCTAAAGAGCCCTTGCTTCCTGCCTGTTTCCTTTAATGGACTTTGGTTAAGTGGGTGGCTATTCTTGCTCAAAACCAGCATGAAGCAGCCACAGACAGCCATGGTAAGAGCGCTCCAAGTCAGGCAGGGCCCTCCTTTGCACCACTAGCAACAAACAGGCCCTAAAACATTAGGGTGTTTTGTTTTCCTTTTAAGCATACATTCCCAGCAACCCCTATGCATATTTATGTTTTAACACACATCGATACTTTTAAGTACAGCAAAGTTAGTTAATTCATTCAAAAGAGCCTTGGAGCTTGATAAATCACCCCCCTTCTTCCCAAGACGAGCTACCCGAGACAAGGCTCAATGCAAAGAGCGCTCACCATTGCTGATGCAGAGGAGCAGCCCTCCAGCAGGAAGCAGCATTTTCTGCTGGAACCGGTGCAAATCAGAACCTCCTGGTGAAGAGCACTTACAAATACCATGAGACTAAACAAACGGAACTCACCAGCACCACTGCAGGCTCCAGCATCTATTCGGGTTTCTCATCTTACAGCCTGCAGAAATCTCTCCAGTTCAAAAGCTCCTTTGCTCAGAACGAGGGTACAGCTCGTGCTCAAAACCCCAGTCAAACCAGGTACACTGAATTTCCTCACGTCTCAAGGACTTACACTTTTAACACTGCTTAGAAAGAGAAATCAACCTAAAAGGTGCTCTCATGGAGCGTATGAATTTTAGCTGACATGTGGAAAAGAACATGCATCATCAGCAGCAACAGACACTATTCCTATCATGCAACAAGGATTCAGGTTTGCAAGCATCATTTTGCCACAGATGTCTACAGGCAAATACAGAACCTCTGCATCGCTCCTACGAACAAGAGGCACAGAAAGCAGCACAGTGGTCTGTGCTGCATTTTGCTCCACCACACAAGCTATTTACTGCCCCATCACATCTGAGAAACAGCCCATTGTAGCTGCATTAAACCCCAGCACACCATCATTCCATGCTATTTTCACCCTGCCACAGTTAATATCTCAATACCTTACGTAATCTACTGCAGTCAGAAAGGAAAAGGTTCCCTGGTATTGTCACTCCCTGGTGCAGGCACCCTGCCTATCGCCAGCCTCCACACAACTTACCCACGATCTACCACCTCTCAAGGCTTTTGAGCCTGTCTGCTTTAGCAAAGACCCTCATTTCCCACTAGGACAGAGCATTTTCAGTGGATTGCCTCCATATTTATCTTGCTTGGAGCCAGCACAGGCAGGACTGGTGAGGTCTCTTAAAAATCATCCTGGTTCAGATTCTAGAGCTGCTGATTTCCTGTTATAGGAAGTAACAGTTCTAGCAAAAGAATCCCCAAGGCAAGACGTTCAGTGTTCCAATGTGTAAGCCCTAACAGCCTTTGTTCTTCCCTTTGCCAGATTCATCACTGCTCGCTTCCCTCTCCCCCTCTCCCTGTCTCTGAAGCCTTCAGCTTCCAGCACAAGACCCAAACGCCGGCTCCAATCTAAGGACACATCTATTTTTCAGATGAGAGGGGAAAAAAATGCCCTCTCCATTATCCAGTGCTTTGAGTTAAAAGCAGCCACCCCCAGGAGCTGCTGCACTGCCCAGCCGCTTCCCAGGCTGATTTCATTACTGCACAACGTTATAATTCATGCCACTAATAACCCGCTGGAGCTCCATCAACCCCTGAATACAGCTTTCCACTTGCCTCCTGCAAAATCCTCCCTGGTTACAACAGCTTAAGAAACACCATCCATACCCTTCCTTTCATACGGGTACTTTCTTCTATGCAGCTGTATTAAGCACAGGTTTAACCCTGAAGACCTGAATTCAGAAGCCAGTACTGGGTTACTCAGATTTGGCCAAACGAGCAACCTTTAAACAATCAGAGAGCGCATTCTGAGGGCTGTACCACAGCACAGCCAGTTCAGTGCCATGTGCTCCGCGATTTCTGATTGTCACTCAGAGGCCTGCTCCCCATCCCCACATTGTTACACAAACAAGACAAGATACTGCACTTAAAACACTGTATTTAGCCCAAGATATCAGTAAGACTCACAAATAATAGCTTTAATCCTATTAAAGCTGGAGGACGCTAATAGCATTTCTCTAGTAACACTGAAACAATTGTCTCCTCACTGCTGTGTGCAGCCAGGAGCCAGATCCGCTTTGCACATACATGTACCTTCATGCTATTGTTCCACTCACACCCAAACAGCACCGCTCACCTTGTGAACCTTGACCTTTGAAAGGTATTTTAGCCACTGCTCAGTGACTGCCCCAGACGCATTACCTCTGCAAATATGAAAGGGTTAAAGGCAGCCCCAATCAATAGGCCTACAAGGGAAAGAAAGAGACAAAAAGGAAAGCGAGTATGCCTTACAGCCCCTCTGCAATGCCCTCTGCACAACTGCACAACAACACGGTTTCCTTCTGGCCTTACAGAAAGGCACAGCACCCCCCACCCCCCATCCTAACGTCTCCTAAAGCAGCAAAGCACAGACAGCACCCTGTAAAGAAAAGAGCATGCAAACGGCATTCTGCAGTCACAAGCATCGCTACAATTACAAGTCATTCAAGCAGGTTTATTCAGTTCAGCTTTAAAATAAGATGCAAAGCACAAGTATTTTAATAAGGGTCATAAATCTCAGCTCTTGCCCATTCCTTAAGCATAAAAAGGCACGAAAAGCCAAAGTCATCTCAGTTACTGCAAATATGTACATTTACATACAGAACCCTTTATGCCTCTATTAGCCACATACCAGTGCTGTGTGTCTAAAGTGTGCATTCACATACTGGTTTGGGATGGTATCTTTCTGCAAGCTCCTCTGCTTTTGGCTGCCATGAAGGGAGGAAGCTATCCCACTGTAGTAGCTCAGTGACTGCATTGTGTTCAGGAGCTGATCTGCCTCAAACCAGTTCCAGCCGGTTCTGGTCACCCTACATAAAAAGCTATGGCAACCCTCGCGGAGTTGCCAGCAAGTCCCTGGAATGGCGGGGCTCTCCCTGCTGGGGCGGGCCCCTCGCCCTGCGCCCCACACGCGGCCCCTGCGCCCCACGGCCGCCCCACACGCTCCCTCCCCACTTACCTCCCACAACCCGGCTCAAAGCTGAGCGTGTGTGCGTGCCTGGCTGGAGCTAACAAAGAGACCGCAGCCGAGCCCCGCACGGGAGCTCTCTGCAGCGCCAGGCAGGCTCGGCCCCGGCCCCGGCCCCAGCCCCAGCCCCGCTCGGCTCCCGCGGCACCGCTGCCCCGTGCCCCAGGGGTGGCCGCACCCGCCCCGCTCCTCGGGGGCCGCTCGAACGGCATTCTGTGTGCTGGCACCGCGCTGCTGCTGCTGCTGCTGCCCGGGGAGCCCGCACCCGCCTCCCTCCCCGCACGAAACCCATTTCCGCAGCAGCAGCGGGATGGGATGCCCGCAGGAGCCCCGCTGCCCCCGAGCGCAGGGGCTTCCTCTGCGCTGCTGGGCCCCGGGGAGCGGCGCAGGCTGCGGAGCCCTCGCCCGGCCGGGGCCCCCCTGCCCAGCCCGGCTGCGGGAGGCCGGGGCTGAGCTCTGCAGCCTGCGCCGCTCCCGCCCCGCAAGATGGCTGCGGCCCTGCTCCGGCTGCCCGCTCCCAGCCGCCCCGGGGCAGCTCCGCAGCAGGGCCGCGGCTCCCTGCGGGCACCGGCTCCCTCCGGAGCAGGGCTCTGCGCCCAGCTCTGCCCGGGGCGGCCGTGCTCCGAGCGCGCTCCCCGCTTCTCCTCTGCCACCCAGGGCCTTCCTCCTGCAGGCCCGCAGCCACCCCGGCCCCGGCCCCGGCCCCTGCGCTGCCCGCTGCTGCTCGGCTACTCACCCCGGCACTGGTACCACCAGTGACCACCTCCTCTCCTCCTACGCGCCAGGCCCCATCCTCCTCGGCACGGCTCCCTCGCAGCCGGCGGCCACGCCAGGCGACACCAGCAGCCCCCGTGCTCTGCTCCGCTCTGCTCTGCGGGCTGCACCTGTAACTGTTAGCAGAGGTCTCGGGCACAACCCTTCACCCCCCCTTCCCCTGCGGAGAGCTCGGCTCTGGCACTTTCTCCACATCCCTCATCCCCACCCCGTTCTGGGGAACACGACCATGTTCTTCCGCTGCCTCAGCCCTGTCTTCCCCGCACCGCGGCTGCACCGGCCCTCCCTCAGCCCCGCAGCCCCCGTGGGCTGCTCCCGCCTCTGCGGGACAACGTGGCCCCGGGCACCTCGCGGCCGGACCGCGGCCCCCTCCCCTTAGCGCGGCGGCCGCACCCCCCCCACCATCACCATCACCACCAGCACCACCAGCACCAGCACCCGCACCCAGGGCCGGGCCCGGCCCTACCCGAGCGGGCGCTGCCGAGCCGGCCCGGCGGAGCGCGGGGGATGCCCGGGGAGGGGAGGCCGCGGCCCCTCCGGCGGCGGGGGAAGGGGAGCGCAGGAGGCCGCGGCCGAGCGATCCCCGCCGGCCCTGGCAGCCCCGGCGCTGGGGTGGCCGCGGGGCTCCGGCGGCCGCCGCCCTCGCAGCGCCCCGGCCCCACGCCGAGCGGAGCGGAGCCGAGCAGGCCCGGCAGGCCGCTGCCCAGAGCCTGTCCGCGGCGCGGGGCCTGCGCGCCGGCGGGGCGGGAGCCGGGGCACGGGGACCCCCCCGCATGCAAGCTGGACCCCATGCAAACCAACAGACCTGCTGCGGGCCCGGCGCCTCGGGCGGGCAGGGGCACGGGCACGGGCACGGGCAGGGCTGCGGCCCGCGGCGCGGCCTGGCTAAGCGCTGGTGAACATAATGGCAGAGGCTGTGCCGGGCTGAGGAGCCGTGCGGGCGGGGGTGCCTGGGCTGCACAGATGGGGGAGACGCTCCCGTGTGAAACGGCTCCCTGGAGCGTGCCGGGGGCGGGGAGCCTGCGCTGCCGCCCAGCACCCGCGCCCGGGCCGGGCCGGGCAGGTCGCGGCCTCCCGCAGCCCGGAGGGGGGGGGGATCCCGGCTCCGAGCCCAGGCGGCCGCCGGAGCTCTCCCCGGCAGGGAGCGAGCGGCGCTGGGGGCACGGCCCGCGGGCCCGGGCCTTCACCACGGCCCTGCCCAGCCCGGGGCCCGGCGGTGTCAGCGCGGTCCCGCTTTGCCGGAGCGTCCCGGGCCTCCCGCGGCGCTGCCGGGCCCCGGTGCAAAGGGCAGCAAAGGAGCCACCGCCCGCGTTCCGGGCCCGGTGCGCGCCGCGGGGCCGGGAGCCGCCCTGGGTCCTGCCGAACCAGAGCCTGGGGCTCCGTACGGAGCCGAGCCTGGCCGAGGTCTGGCAGCGGCATCGCCAGTAGGGTCTGTTTGCCGTGAAGCAGCCCGGCGTTAATGCCGGTGTTATACGTTCCCATAGGAAGTATCCCCCTTTCTGCCATAGAATATGTCACAAGCGAGCAGCAGGATGTAAAGTGTGTGTGAATCACTGTACTGGACAGCATGAAAGGCTTCAAATACACAGCACCCTTCTCAGGTTTATCCTGTCGGCCTCGGTTTTACAGACAGCATAGTCAATAACTACATAAACAATAACTACAGATTCTGGTCGAAATAATGCTGGTTTATGACCAACTCTTCCAAGGCCAGAGGCCAGGCAGTGGAGTCCCAAAGGCCTATTGCAGCATCACCAGCACAGACCCCTATGGGAGGATGCTGCAGCAGGACCTGACCTCACAGCCATGGGTGGGGAAGACTCCCACTGCTTGCAATGGGGCTTCTCCACATACACATCCCAGCTTGTTCTGACCATCAATCCAACAGCAAAGTGCTCCATTGCCAGCCTGGCAGTGAGTGAGCCTGGCAAGTTTGAACAGAATACATTGATTTGGTTATTTATTTGTATAATAAAGAAACGGATTCGTGTTGTGCACTGACTTTAATGTTACAGAAGGGCCACGAAACTCATCCTGCGCAAGCCTGGGGCGCATCCTGCAAGTGCCATGTAGAACGAGGCCATTGTGTCTGTGACAGTTCTTCCCAGTTAACTAATAAACAGTTTGATGAAGGGAAGTGAGATGTGGAGCCTGCTCCTTACACAGTGTCTGAGGCTGGTTTGCACGGTGGTCTAAAGGTGACAGCAGCTGCTGCTCTGGCATTGGGATCTGAAATGTTAATTGCTTTCACAGGTGATCCATGGCAGGAAGGCCCTGTGCAGGCAGCCTGAGGTTCCAGGCAGGTAGCCTTGACATCCCCGTGGCAGGAAGCCTCTCACCCCAGGATCTGACTTCCAAAACATAAGCATCATTTCCAAGTGGAGCCGGGCTGACAGCACACACAAAGGAGCACACGAGGGCCACGTGGCTCTTCTGCTTGCTGAGACCTCAGCAGGCTCTCACACGTTGACCTTACCTCTTGCTCCTGTAGTCACCTCCAGAGCGTTGTGAGTGCAGGTACAGCTGTCTCAGTGGGGGCTGTGGGTGGGTTTAGGTTACTCCAGCATTGCAATAGGTGGGAACTGGAGTCCCTCGCTTTATCCTGTCTCAGCATTCCACCTTCACGTTTCCTGTACCATCATACACACAAGAGCAGAGCAAAGCCTGTTTCTCCTTGTAGAATACTTTAACTGTTTAGAATGCAATGGGCCTTTAACCACTGTATTGAAACAGTCAGTGTAAAACCCCATCTTACAATGCGACCTCCCCTTTGCAGAGGCTTCTATTACTGATAGTTTCTTGGCAAAACACCCCCAGTTTCCTCTCCTGGTTATTAAAATAAGCTTCCCATTGTGTTTTGGACTGAAAGCTCCAGGATTGCTTTTAGAAAGAGGGGAGGTATTAGAAGAAAGGGATCTCATATGAGATAAGGACCTTGGCAGGGAGAGATCTGCAGCCAGGCTCTAAATACACCTTCACTACTGTTGAGTCAAGGGAAATCTGGGAAATGTCATTTAGAAACAAAGAGATGAGACACAGCAAGCTACCTGCAGCCACATCTGTGCACTCCAAGGTACCCGCCCAGCCCATTAAGACGTCTCCTGGCCCAGCAGCACATTAAGACCTGAGCTTGTCACACAGTGTCCTTCTGCAGGTGCTGGATGTGGCCATGCAGGAGGCTCCAGAGCTCTGATCCATGGCCAAGGGGTTAAAACTCACTGAATCCTCACTCCAGATGCCTGGAGCTAATCTGCCATTTGCCAAACTCCTCTTTGGGGGTGCATTAAACCCCATCTCATGCCTGCATGTGGCACTGGTCTGCACTGGGGCTGCCACAACAGCTCAGAAAGAGCCTGGAATTACCAGTAACAGGTGAGAGGAACATGTGCAGCCCATGCATTCTGACCTCTAAGCCTTCAAGTGTCAGCTCTGGTCTGATGAGAGAGGTCTTACTATGTAATAAATATGATTTTACAAGCTGGTGTGCAGTGAAACAGCTCCCTTGGCCTCTTCTCCCTGTTATAACCGGCTCTGAAGACCATGTGCTTGTCAGAGAAACAGGAGGAAGAGGAGGACAGGAAGAGAGCATAATGCCCCCCAAGCACGAAGAGTGACAAACCTCCTCTCAGGATGTGAGCCCTCCACCTGCACCAGCAGCGAGTTCCACACAGGGCCACGTGCAGGCTGCGGGATGAGGGCTCTCCTGTGAGCACTGTGGTGTTCTCTGCTTGCTGACACCTCCCCAGTGTGGGCCATCAGCTTCCTCTGCACGCACCAGCCACCTGCGTGATTACCATCCAGTGGAACAGAGCTCATCAGCCCGGGACACTGAAGGATGCCTGCTTTGTTCCCTGCTGCGCCTGTGTGCTCGGGCTCCTTCCCTTCCTCTCCTGATATTTATTCAAGTACAGGAGCATTATCTGTGAATTATTCATCAGACAGTATCTGATGAGGCCCGGGCTCCCACTGCTTAATGAATGAGCCATTAGCCTGTTGCAGATGGTGCTGTCAACAGCTACTGGGATGCTGGGTGCTCACCTGCACTTACACTGGGAGCAGAAGGGCAGAGCTGAGGCTGGGAGATGGCTTTTCCTGTGATATCCATCAAGCATCAAGGCACAGCCATTACTCCGGGTTTACTCCCTGCCAAGCGGCCTCCTTAGGCACTTCCTCTGGGAGCTGTACCTGGAGTTTCCCCAGGGCACCTTCTCTCAGGGCTGGAGTCCTACAAACGAGGCAAGAAGAAGAGGAGTTACATTTGCAACACCGAGACTTCAATCTAGACAGACTGACACAGGCTTCTCACACCAGAAAACCTCTGTGTTGAGTAAATCCTGCCAGCTGCAGGAGCAGAGTCTCACCATGGGCCCCTGTTCACCCTCACTCTTGGCCCATCTGCTCTTCCTGCTATGAGGAACTGAGCTGCTCTGCCAGGCTGGTCACTTGTGAGCCTCAGTCAGCAGCAGATACAGAGAGTTCTGCTGGAAGGGGCCCCTCCTGACAGTTAGTTATTCCCTATGGGATGTGAGGTGCTTCCCTCCCCATAAAACCAGTGCAGATGGGGCTGAAAACCATCCATCGCTGCTGTCACTGGCCACAATGGTGGCTCTCACCAACCTCCTGCAGTCCTGATTAGATTGTGCTCAACACAGGCTGCTCAGGTTGATTACAGCCACATCCTGGGCATCACATTGTCTGTGGGGCTAATCCTCTGCTCCAGGCCTGGGGATCTCATGCGCTCGCCTCCAAGACACCTCTGCCTTGGAGACAGTGCTCCCACGCACCCACTGCTCCCCCCAGCACGTGCCTGTGCCATGGGCTCTACATCTGCAGCGTCATTCCAGGCTGGACCTCGCTGAGCCACCTTCCCCACTGCCTCCTGCCCCACATCAGAGTGGCCTCGGGGCACAGGTGTCACCCAGGGCAGGCAGGAGATGCTGTCATCCATGGGGCAGCACAGAGACCTCCTCTGCACCCTGTTCTAGTGGAGCTGAGTTATTGAAACCACTCCTTACATCACACAACAGCACAGCTGGAAACACATGGGAACCCCAGGGAAAGGAAATGAGCATCTCTCTGGAGAGGAGATGCTGGGGAGGAGGAGGAGGAGGAGGATGATGGGGAGGAGGAGGCTGCCGCTGTGCAGAAGAACGTTGACACCTGGTGGCTGGCCCAGCCAACTGCTGGGGTGATGGCCAGTGGCCATGGAGAGGCTCCAGCCCCCTGCCAAGGAGTCCTACAAAGCCTCCTCTAGGGCAGCCACGCCAGCTAAAGGATTCCAGATTCCAGAACAGGGCATGGCCAGGATTAGGCCATAACAAACAATTCCACGAGCCCAATATGCAAGAAAGTGGCTTCAGATAAGGCAAGAATGTACATTTTGCACTGCGTGATGCAAAGAACAACCTGGGCAGCACAGTCAACCACTGCACATCATCCCTCTGCTCACCACATCCCTTATTGCTGCTTCTTAGAGCTGCCCAACGATAGGGTTTACATAAACCAACTCCAGTGTGTGATACAGCAACATTCCAATTATACCTTTTGCACCTTATATATATCCCATAGTTTAAACATCTCCAGGCAGGCAGATGGAGTTTAACGGGAACTATTACATCAACAGATGCTCCTACCTAGTTAGCACGGCTCAGGCAGGGCACAAACTGAGGGAAGGCAGGAAAACATGTTTTCTGAGGGAGCCACCATCTGCCAATTTGAGAAGCTGCTGTCACTGATGACTCAGTAGCACTTGAATATGTGCAAATATCACTAATAGCAGTCTCAAGGCAGCTATTATTATATATTAACTTTATTATAGCTGTGGACCAGCACTGAGACTACAGCAATAAGAAAGCACTGTAATTAATGAGGCTTAAAGGGAAATCACTTTAGAGTTAGTTGAGAAAGGGCAGTTATTTCTCTTGGGAACCTTTAGATACAAACCTGGGGTTCATCCCTCTTTTCCATCATGTTCTGTTAAGAAAGGGACATGTTTGTGGCTGGACAGCACACAGAGCTTACCAGGGTTTGTAAATGATTGCCAGCAGCAGAGGTGAAGAGTTAGAGCCAAAGGCAAACCTAAATCTATGTCCCAGGCAGTTACTACTCCATAAAGAACCAGGTACACTCCAACAGGAGAACCTGCAGCTCCGCTGCCCTCGCTAGTCACTACTGGGATCTCCTGCATGCCAAGTGCCAGGCCTGGAAGCATTCCCTTTGCAGTTCTGTTCCCATGCCATTCCATCCTCTCCCTCCCGTGCCTTTCACCCCCTTCCCCACAGCACATTCTCATCCCAAACCACACATCCAGCCCAGCTCAGGGATCCTCCCTGTAGAGAACAAGCAGGTTTGGGAAGAGCTGAGCTTCCTTGTGCCTGCTAAGGCTGGAAAACGTGGATCTGGCATTGCAGCTGGTGAAGGGAAGCCCC